CTTAACAAATTCACAATGAGGAGCATACTGTATTTTTTATCAAATAATTCACATCTTATTTTGTAATATAAAGATCAAAAAAGTTAATATTGAAAATGTCTCCAGAACAATAAGACATGGTTAATGGCAGTAAAACTTCTAAAATTTTTTAAATGGGAAGTAAAACAAGGGAAGCATCAAGCTGGTTAATTAAATTTTACAGGTTTTCTTGCAGCCATACAGTCATATGATTCACAATGCTATCTTCTGTGCAGCAGTTCTATTATAATGAAGGGTTCTGGACTGAAAAGCAAAATAAAACTTCCACATCCAGGAGATGTCTCCTAATAATCAACATAATTCAATCGAACATGTCAATAAAATGGGTAAGTTAACACCTACTCCCATAGCAGCAAATTACTTAACAAGTAGTAGTGTTTTCCCTTTTTCTTAATCACACACACAAAAAGTACATTAAATTTTTTGAGGAAAAAAAAATTTTTTTTGAGGAAAAAACAATTAACCCAATATTCCCTATAATCCCCCTATCCCCACATAAGCAGTTTTATTCCAGAATTACTGCTTTTCAGTTTGTCCTTGTGCACATATATTTTCACACAGCTATAATCACTGTACAAGTTTTTATTTTGTTTTTATATTTAAACTTTGTTCAACATAGTCCATGTTTTTACAGTCATTCTAATTATACCTTTTTAAAGGCTGCATAATAACAATAACAATTCCCATTGATGTGTTATATGATTTAGTCATTCAAGTTGGACTCTGGGTTGGGTTGAGGTTGGACCTTTGGTTTCCTCCATGGCTCCCTACTACACATACTGTTACACCTGTATAGACTTTCTAAAACTTATTCTCCTCTCAAATTATTTTCTAAGGGTAAATTATCCAATATTGGTAATTAGTGGGTATATTTTTCTGGCTCTTGAAAAATCACCATAGTGCTTTTCCTAAAGGCAAAAACCAAAGTACAAAATTGCTAGTAGTACATATATGGGCATCCACTTCATAACCACCCCACTAGCAGTGGGCATTCATGTTAGGTAACTTAGAATTCAATTAAAAATTTACCCCCGGAAAACTCCTCAATGACAGATTCTGGAGAATCTAGACTTTCACTTACCATCTTGCTTGTTGCTTCAGCAAGTTTTCATTCCCATAGTGTATAAAAGCTAAGTCAATGAAGTTTATTAATGTCTGTTTCATTAAATCATCTTGTGTTTCTTTTTTAAGTCCTTCAATTCTGCTCACTCTTAAATTGTTATAGTGGAAAGGGTTATATAATTTCACTAACAGAGAACAGCTTAGCTTAGAATTAAACTACAAATTACAGAGGGTTGATAAGGCAACCAGATTGTGTAATGGCAAGAAAACACCTGGTTGGTGGGCTCACAAGACCATTCCTCACCCCACCCCCAATCTCTTTTGTGTTCGTGAACACTGGAAAGGCTTCCTCAGTCCCACATAAAAACAAGCCAATCCTCATTCAGTGCTGTGGCCCCTTCAAGGTACATTGGAGTCCCCTCCCCCCTTTTAAAATATTTTATTTATTTATTCATGAGAGATACAAAGAGAGAGGCAGAGACACAGGCAGAGAGAGAGAAGCAGGCTCCATGCAGGGAGCCTGACGTGGGACTTGATCCCCGGTCTCCAGGATCACGCCCTGGGCCAAAGGCAGGCGCTAAACCACCGAGCCACCCAGGCGTCCCATGGAGCCCCTTTAATTGCCAAAAGTGTTAAAGAGTTTAACTTTTTCCTCAATGCCTTGCTCTGTGCCACTGAGAAAGCTATTCTGAAGGTCATCAATGTGTCCTTTAGCTGTCCTATAGTTTTTCCTTGGGCTTATAACCTGAGACTTCTCTACCACAACATTCATGACCACGCCTCCTACCTTCTTGACTACTGTTTCCTACCATTCCCAAAGTCTGTCCTCAGCAATACCACTCTTCAAAAACATTTTCCTTTGAGTGTGTCAGCTATTTATACAACTTAATTGTATGAATTACAATTTATACTGTTAACTCTAGCTTTTCCTCAAAGGACCAGAACTGTAATCCTAACTTAATGGACTCGACTTTTAGATGCTCTGTGGGCATATCCAATTTAACAAGTCAAAGCCCATTCTGTCTGTTGCCCTACATTGATTTCTCCATCAGCAGACTCTGCTAATCGCAGTATCATTCTCAGTCTCAATTAGGTATGAGATCTTGTTTTCATCTCTGACACCCTTGTTCATTTTTTCACTCTACACAAGTTTGCTAGATTCCTCCCTGGAAATGTTTTTTACTCCATTTTCTGAATCCTACTACTACCTTTCTAGTTCAGATCCTCTTTACCCCCCATTTCTATTATAGAAGCTTCCGTGACACTGTCTTCCAAATTCATTTCTTCTCTAATTTGCTATCATAGCACTGTCATTTCAATCTTCTTAAATGGCAATTTGGATTCCATCAGTCCTTTGTCTATCAACTTTCCCATGCCTACCAGATTATGTACAGACTTCTTAATCTGAAATTTAAGATGAATGATAGCTATCCCAAACCACCTCTCTGGTTGTCTTATTACTGTTCTGTATTCCAGGTAAAATGAAGGCAATCTCTTTCCCCAACACATTCTTTATCTTTCTGTTCCCTAAACACATTCATTCTTTTCCCCTTTTAAAAAATTTTCTTTTTATTATATGACCTATACCCCTAAAAGCTGCCTGTCCTTCAGGAAGCAGTTAAAGAATATTACTTTTTTTATAAGTAACGTCTGACTTTCCTAACAATATACTTTCCTTATGGAATCCACTATGTTGAATTTAAGTTACTTATGTGCTATGCTCTTTTATTCCTATTAGACTGAAAATAATTTGATGGAAGAGACTGAATCTCATATAGTTTTTAAAAACCCATTACTTTCCCTAGCTGTTCTCATTTGATACCCAATTTTATTCTGTTCAATCATTTATTGAATATTTACTAGGAGCGAAGGTCATATAATATAACTATAAGGTCATACAACAAATATAACTAATATGTAATAGAGAAGGGACTTCAAATACTCTAGTTCCTCTGGCTTTACTTACATACTACAGAAAATTTCAAAAATCCCACAGATGTCAAAAATATTTGCTGAATTAGCCAGCTATATTGCCATAATCATTCATACTTTAAGTAAGACCTTATTAATGGAGTTTGACATATTTAAATTATCTAAGATACCCCTCTAAAATGGAAGATACATTTTCTAAATGACAAATATCCACCATTTGCTTCAACATGGATGGAACTGGAGGGTATTATGCTGAGTGAAATAAGTCAATCGGAGAAGGACAAACATTATATGTTCTCATTCATTTGGGGAATATAAATAATAGTGAAAGGGAATAGAAGGGAAGGGAGATGAAATGTGTGGGAAAAGTCAGAAAGGGAGACAGAACATAAAGACTAACTGGGAAATGAATTAGGGGTGGTGGAAGGGGAGGAGGGCGGGGGATGGGGGTGAATGGGTGATGGGCACTGAGGGGGGCACTTGATGGGATGAACACTGGGTGTTATTCTGTATGTTGGCAAATTGAACACCAATAAAAAATAAATTTATTATAAAAAATAATATTTATTAAAAGAGAATGCCCGAGAAATCAATTTAAAGGGAAACCACCATTTGACCACTGATTGTCTTTCCTCTCTATTACTAGATAAAGCTTCCCTGATGAAATTAAAGTATCAGCCTAAACATGATAGATTAAACAATAGAAGTGGATATATCAGTCAAGGAAAAAGAATTCAGGGAGGAAAACAGAGCTATGAATACAGTACTCCAGAGAATACCCAACTCAAAAGAGGATGATCAAGGCGCCCAGGAGATTTAAATCAATATACACCATTAGAAAATGGCATATCTGTTTAGCATCTACCACGTGCCAGGCACTGTGCTAGATGCTAGATAATGTACTAAATGGATAATGTGCAAGTAGATAATCAAAAGCAGATGATGATACAGTGTGCTTTGGTACTTCATAAAAACTACATGGGTAATTCAGTTATCACAAACTATTCAAGTTCTGTCTAGCTTGTTCATATAGGACAACATTAGAAATTTGATTTTGTTCATCACTGAATTGAAAAATGTGGCATCATGGAATATTATCATATATATTTAATGAATTAATTAGGTTCTGATGGCATCTATTCTTAAAGGTAAAATTAGGGGAAACTATCTAAAACAGCTTTATCATTTTACTAAATAATTTTTCAGTATCTATTCTGTGCCACACAAAGGACTATATGTGTCAGGAATGTGGGGAAAAATAAGTCACAATTTTTTTGCAAGGTTCATGTAACCTCATGGAAGAACCCAGACATAAAAGCAATGATGACTTTAAGTATTTTTTCTTCAAAAACTTACATGAAATAGAATCTTTCATATAATGCTGGTTTAGAGGTCAAGATCAGTATTTATGTATTCATTTTTGTTGTAAAACCAAAATACCCTCTGTATTTTAATGAATCATAGGTGTATTTCACTGACTACCCTAAAAACAAAATCAATCCCATATACTACTAATTACTTTAGCAATTGATAAATCCAATGAAAAATTTCTCATTCATTCCTCCTACTTCAACACTTTTTCTCCGTGTGTCATGTTTCTGTCCTTAAGACAAAATATTCTTTAATCAAGTGTTTTAGCACAGATTTTGCTGCCTTTCAACAAATTTACAGCAGAGGTATCTACCTTCCAAAAACTATTTCATGCAAGTTTTCTCAATTTCCAAACAATATGCTATCACACTCTAATATGTATGGCAATTATTTTTGCTGTGTCTTTACACCTCCACTTCTAAGTCCTCTGAGCGTAAGCTACTTGAGTGTATCCATCAATTTTCCTTCATTTTGCAGGTCCTGTAGGGTTTAGCATGCAGAAAGTGCTGAGTAAATATTCAGTGTATGTAAACAATCCAATTAATTAATCATACTTTCACACTGCTACTGAAATTTTAAAAAATCAAACATATTAATGGAAGAGTAAATTAATTTTATTGACTGATGAAAAACTAAAGTGATAAGAAGTATGGATAGTAAACAATAATCACTGAGTTCTGCTGGAATTCTATTTTTCTTCTTTCCACTTTAAGCCAAAAGGACATAAAATTATAGACTGTTAGTGAGCTCATCATTTTAAGTTTCTCCAACAAAAACTGCATAGTTTAGCAGTTGCACAGCATTAAATATATACATTTTTGCAAAACCCTGAAAGTTTTAATTTTTGTGTTGACCTCATAGGCTAACGGAATCACCTACACTGGTCGGATTCAGAGTTTCTTTTCCCTTTTCTGCCACCCTGTAAAGAAAAATAAGGCAAATTATTTAGGAAGTACCATTTTGGGGGCATTTTCATTTTAAGAATAAATGAGACCAAAAGTATTTTTTAATATGAAGAAGCAATTTTTTTTAGTTTGTTGCAAATTTGAATGTGCATACCCCTAAATTATTTTACATTGTTATTATTTCTTTTTTTACAAATGATTAAAGCAGGTTGTATTAATTTAGAGTAAGATTATCCATATTTTATTTTTTTAGAGCTCATTTGGACTGTTCCCTATTTTAAAAAATATAATTTTCGATCAATACTAAAACAATTTACTTCATATAATCGGCAAATTTGCTAATTCAGTTCATTACCTTTTAGAATAATTCTATTTCTAATTCAAGTTAGTCTTGTTCATATTAGATGGCATTAGAAACCTGATTTTGTTCATCAGTGGGTTGAAAAGCAGGGTATACTTTTCATATTGCTCAGTGACATACATATATGAATCTCTATTTAATTTGCTCCAAATGAAACTCCATCTATGGTATTTGATTTGAGCCAAGGAAAGAGGTAGAGCTTAAAAGATAAGTATTTTACATTTATTACTTTTAACAAAACATTTTCTGCCTGACTCTGATTTAAAAAGCAAATACTTATTGTAGAAATACAGAAAATACAAAGGTACAAAAAATAAAATTAAAATCATCCTTAACTATTCTACTTCCCATTTTAACCATAAATAATGGTTTGATGTAATTTTATAGTTTCTCATCCATTTTTATAAAATATGGCAATGATACCCAAACTTAGTTGATCAACAGAATCACCTAAGTGGTAATATTTTTAAAATTCTGATGTTGAGACTTTGCCCTGGATCTATTTATGATCACCAGAAGTGGGCTGAACAATCTGTAACTCAAAAAATTCCCAAGTGATTCTTGGTCACTTTTGTGGTCAAGACAAGTTTGGGAACTAGTATTTGTCTGTTGAAGTACATTTCTTAAAGTGGTGGTTATATCAAGGGGCATGTGGCATCCAGACCCATTTACTAGTGTTGGCAGCTACTCTTCGCTGCTTTCATCCTTCTTCTGATATCCCTCTTGGTGGTTATAAACATTGCTACACAAAGCTTTTTTATAAAAAAATCAAGTATAAGAATGCCATTATTCATTCCTACCAAATAAAAGTTTTGCACAGATTCATATACTCTTATGGGACCTGAGATGTGTAATGCCATATATTAAAATCAAAATTTGGGATCCCTGGGTGGCGCAGCGGTTTGGCGCCTGCCTTTGGCCCAGGGCGCGATCCTGGAGACCCGGGATCGAATCCCACGTCGGGCTCCCGGTGCACGGAGCCTGCTTCTCCCTCTGCCTGTGTCTCTGCCTCTCTCTCTCTCTCTCTCTCTCTCTCTCTCTCTGTGTGTGTGTGACTATCATAAATAAATAAATAAAAAATTTAAAATCAAAATTTATTTCCTGTAGCAGGAAAATACGAATACATTTACTAAAAAAACTTTCCTACAAAGTAGATACCCACTATGCTTAAGTACCAGTGTTACACAGCTTAGAACTCTTACGTTGTTTTTCAACAAGATTAAGAACAAAAACAAACAAACAAAAAATTACCCTCCACAAAATTCAAGAATCCTTTTCAAAGTCTCCCAGGCAAAGATAATTCTCCTTCTTAGACTGATGAGGTCAAACCTGGGGCTGTTACTTCTATGTTCTTCAGACCAGTGGTAGCAGCTTTCAAATTGTTTTTTACTCTGACCCCCGACATTAATTAACACATTTATATCATGACTTAGACACACATACATACATACAAATATATGTGTGTGTGTGTGTACACACATATACATAAACACATATATTGAAATAAAGAATTGATTTTTTTTACTGCTTCGTCCAGAAAAAAATGCTGAATGCCAGCTTGTAAATGCAGAAGAAATAATAGAATTAGAAAAATCACTATTTTGCAACTACCAAAATAATAACCGATACAAATATCATCAATGGATGCTAAAACCATTGGGTAAAAAGAAAAGAACATTCACACAATCTCAAAGTATCACTTCACATTATTTATTAATTATAAAGAGGAAAAGATATCTTTACAATGGAGATATCTGGGAGAAACTGCTGTGCCCAAGTGATCAAATTTATATACTAGGACAAATGCTATTATGTACCTTCCCTCGATATGATTCACTGGCACATATGCCACATCATGTACCAAGGATTTTACTTTAGTTATTGCTGTATGTACCAATATTTAGAATAACCCTAACATTTTCTAAAGTGTAAATTATATGACCAATAACAAAATTATATGTTTGGTGAATAGATTTGGACTGAAGAAAATAGTGCTTTATTCTCACATAGTATCGATTCTGAAATGTATTATTTGTGAGGAGAACACTTTCAAAATTATAAAAGCATACCTGGTATTTGGCTAGTTCTGCTTGTAATACTTTCACTTTAGATCTTTCTTGTTCTAATGCAGCATGAAGGGAAGTCACCTAAAACCAAACATTCAATTTAAAAAACTTTGTCTCTTCAGGCAAAAATATTTTTAATTCTTAACACTTACTCAGAATGATGAATGTGACTACTAGATGAATAGGCATCAAAGAAGAACCACCTCCCCACCCCCCCAGCTAAGCACACACACAACTTCAGTTAGGCATTTTACTCAGTTGTATATTAAAGACAGATAAAATGCAGAGTAAGGATGGGAAGAAGAAAGTCAAGTCCCTGAATAGGATAAGTTCTATCTGTCCTTCCTATTTTTATATTCATAGACTGCATCAACTGAAATACAATTTTATCTTCCCTTACTCTTCAGGACATATCTACCTCCCTCAGCACAGTTAACAGAATCTTCATTCATTTGCAATTACATGATAATAATGATGTATAATTTATTTCACTTTATCGCAGTGTTGATGAGCTATATTTTTGTTTAATCAAGTTTCATGTTTTAGGACCAGAGAATAAATACCTTAAGAAAACCAGTCCTGCATATTCTAGTTTTTCTTACCTGTATAGTTAGCTCATTCTTGATACTCTGTGATTCATCAACTTGCAGAAGTATTTCTGCTTTATCTTTCACTGACAAGAAAGGAAAAACAGCAGTATAATCTTTCCAATCACTCAAATACTTGAACAATATTGTAGTGAACCAAGATAGCAGTGCATTCGGGCAGATTAATTATCCTTATATTGAATGAATGTGTTTCTTAATTCTATTTAACTCTTATTTTTTCACTGGTAAATTCTGATTATTACTACAGCAGTTTTTCTTGGAAATTTTACATTTTCTGTGGCGTTAATATATTAATTGTATACTTTGAAAGATAAATTTTTTCCAGCTATTCTAAAGAGGACGAGGATATAATTTCTCATTGGGATAAACCAATACTTTGACTAATTCTTTTTTAAAAATGTATTTACTTGAGAGAGGGAGAGAAAGCATACAGGCACACAGAGGGAAAGTGAGGAGAAGTAGACTCCCCGCTGAGCTCAACCCCAGGACCCTGAGATCTTGATCTGAGACGAAGGTAGATGCTTAACCAATGGAGCCACCCAGGCACCCCTACCTTGGCAAATCTAAAGCAAGATTTTAAAAACAATGCAGAATGTTTTGTTTTGTTATATTGTCAGGGTGAGCAGTACTGTAAGGTCTACAGAAAAGGATTTTTATCTGACTGTTCATACCAAAAAAGCACTGTCAAATAAATGTAGCTCATATGATCATAAAAGATTATATACACCTGTGGTCTTTTAGAACTGTTCCTTTGTCTAGAGGTTTTCCCTCTGGGGAAGCAAGAGATCTATCTACATTTCGGCCCCTAGGTCTCCTAAGCTTTAAAAATCTCCACATGGTTAACAACTTCTTTAACCCATGGTAAATGGCTAATGCATGAAAAACTAACTCCTCAACTTTGAAAACAAAATAGGAGAGACTGAAGAGGTAAAATTGTAATAAATTTAGTGAAGGAGGAAAAGATCAAATATATGAGTAATGATATCATCACAGCTCTAGCAATAGAACACTGTAATTCAAATTTATCTTTCATAGTTTAATGCAGTAAGGTGAGACACAGAGTTAAGAATCAAATCATAGTCTCTCAAGATTCAAGTTGGGAACTTTTACATCCTCCTCCCCAGAATTAGGCATACCTACTGAGAACTAGTGATTTTTAATAATTATGTAACATTTCAATTATAGTCCGTTTTCCAAAAACATGCTTGTTTTGAAAACATGAATTTGAGATTACTGTTTTACAGAAAACTTGAACATAACACGGATTTTGCATTTGCTTGAGCATAATTTCACAAACACAGAAAACAGGACCTAGGCACTTACCTCAAATATCTACCAGCTATCTCTCTGTTCACTGTTAGGAACCACACCAACTTTCCATCCTTCCATTACTTCACAGTAACACACAACCTGTAGACCCTCTAAAGCCTATTTCCACAAGCAAACTTAAGGCTGTCTTTTAGATGAAGTACCATATTTATTACAGTATTTGTGTTCAACCATTTTAACATGTATGAAACTGTGCTACTGTTTTATTAGTTTCCCAACTTTTTTTTAATGTGTCTGTGATGGTATTTTTAAGTGTTGCATCCTCCTAACCCCATTTCCCCATAATCTTCGTGGTTTCAAATGTGCTTTTGCAGAAATTGGTGATTTTTAGGAACATGTGTTACGTTATAATGGAGCTATTTTCACTCATAAATGTTAAGAGTATATATGCTCTAACATACTGCATTTTTCATGTAATGGTTCTATATAAAATTCTTTTATTTGGATTTTTTTAAAGCAATCTCTACACCCAACATGGGGCTTGAACTCACAATTCCAAAATCAAGAGTCACATGCTCTACCAACTGAGCCAGCCAGGCACCCCTACTTGCATTTTTTAATAGTATGGAGTATGGAAACTGATGTTATTTAATGGTAGCCGTTTTAAAATGTATTTTTGAGAGAAAACATTTATCAGTTAACTTTCTCATTTTTCACAAATGTTTCCCAAAATAGGAATATTACTTTGTTTTTACATATTTAAAAATCATGCATCCAATGTCCAATGATACCGCTAATTTCTTCTTTTAGAAGTGTAGCTTGTAAATAATTATTTTATTTTTATACTTTTGTTCATTAAATAATCCACATGGAACTCAGTAACATGCACAGATCTAAATTAATCTCAGAATCTTCATATCTAATTTTCCAAATAATGCCTTTTTCCATTATTCTTTAACTTCTATTTCATCATAGTTAAGCTGTGTAAGTTAATTATAAAAAATAGTGAAGTTTTAAAACAGTGAGTTTAAATCTATTTCAACACTGTATATTCTGTTCAACTGAACATGACTCCTGGTTTTACTCATATTGTTTTGGTAACTTTTTTAATATAGTTTAAGTTTTGATTGGACAATTCCACTCTCAGTATCTTCAATTTTGGTATCTTGTTTATTCTTCAAGGTGAGTTTCACAACTTCTTGAACACTACAGTACTCACAAGAGAGCTATTTGGGATATCATTGATACTTATTAACAGAAAACTGTTTATTAAACTTAATTTTGTCTATTCAGAAGATTTTCTCTTATTCAGGTCTTCCTATGTGTCTTTTATGATTTATAGTTTCCTTTCCATGAGCTTCATGCATAATCAGGAATGCAACTGATGTTGTGGAGGGTCTTCATTCAACATCTACTTTACTAATCTGATTATCTCTAATCATTTTTGATGGATTTTCTTAGCTTCCTGCTGGTGAACTACTGCCAGTTTAGAGTGGCCACAAAAGTATAAAGAGTTGGAGAGGGGTGCCTGGGTGGTTCAGTTGGTTAAGCATCCAACTCTTGGTTTCAGTTCAGCTCATCATCTCAGGGTTGTGAGATTGAGCCCCATGTCCAGCTCCGTGCTCAGCACAAAGTCTGCCTGTCTCTCTCCCTCTGCTCTTCCTCCTGTTCGCAGGTGCATACACACACTCTCTCTCACACTTTAAAATAAATAAATGAGATTTTTAAAAAAGATTGGGGGGGAAAGGGAGAAGGAAAACCTAAAATGATGACAGGCATTCTACTCTAATTTTTAAAAAGAGAATCTTAAAGCAAGGTCTATTGTTTTCCTGCTAAATGTAGTCCAATAATTTATAAGAATTGAAATTTCAAACTTCCTCTTACCTGAATAGTTGAAAACTTGTATAATTATGCTAAGGTGCTATAAGAATGACTTGTAATAATAAAATTATCAGCAAAAATTCAACTTGAATCACTCTGGGAAAATTCTTTATGTTGTTGAGTTATTCACATATCTTGAAAAATTATCTTCAGATATTTTTAAGGTTAACTCTTAATTCTAAAAACACATAAATCACTTACTTTCACCTTCCTGAAGCATTTTCAGTAACTGTGCATTTCTTGCCTTTACTTCTTTATACTTTGCCTAGTAGCAAGAAAAAAGATTTAATTTTTAAAGTAAATGATATAATTAACAATTTACTAAGAATTTATGGAGCTATGAATTCTAGGCTTGCTAAAAGACAGAAATTACTTTTGAAAGAAACAGAATGGAGGAAAATGTATTCAGAACTGTCTACTCCTAAACTAATTCCCTGGTACAATAATAGAAATTAATATTATAGGTAACTGAAAAATAAGGGATAAAACTGGAGATAATTCAGGATAATACTAAAATTTCTTTAAATTTTTCTCTTTTTTTTCCTTAAACAAAACCCTTACACAATTCAAAACAATTAGATGAAAACAAAGAATGGTAATTCACAGCTCTAGACCAAGACCATCCTGTACTATACTAGAACTTTCTGTATCTGTTCTTTATCTGCCATTGTCCAACTATAGGCTACTAACTACTGACAGTGCCTAGGTACATACACACTGTAGTTACAGAACTATATAGCACAGTACTATGTCTGCTCATTTAAGGCTTTATTAACCTCTCATTATTTCATTAACTATATGTTATTAAAGTAACTTTTAGTTGATATGAATTATTTACTGGAGTATCTTTCATTTTTCTCAATTTCTTTTTCCAAATGACTTAGCTTTTTCTACTACGTAAATGACACAATTTTATACTTATGAGCAAGAGAAATTATGTTCTGCATTAACGTCTTTATTCCAAGGAATTTTCCCTCTAACCTATCCTTATTCAACATATCTTAAACAGACTTAATTATTTATAAATATTTAATATATTAATACATTGGAGAAAACAATACACTTAATACATTGTGGAAAAACAAAAGAACAGAGAAAGATCGATCACTATAACAAACTTGTCATTTCTACTCCTAACATTTATGCAGATAAGTACCAAAGTTACTGATTCAAAATTCTTTCTTGTATAACATATTTAATGTATTTTAAATCAAGTCCAATAAATATGGCTTTTACTAAATACTCTATCCAGTAAATTGCTGATAATAAATTAGTAATGATATTTGGTAATACTGCAGACAATACCCTGAAAAGAAGCAAGCACCACATAAATGTAAAGGGAACAGAACTTCTGAGCAGCTTAAGAATGAATGAGAGAGGTAAGTCAGATGGACACAAAAATATGAGGCAGAAAAACACACACAGTCAATTACAAGTATATTCACTATGAATACAGAAATAACTCCACTATGATATCTAAATTTTATCTCAGGGCCTCAATCAATGTTATTATCTTGCCAAACTTTCTCCAGTTCAAGTCTTTTGTCCAAGGTACAGATCAATGTACACAGACACACCTTTAATAGCAACCTTTGGGTCTAAAGTCAGCTCATAATGCAAAAATTGTAAATTAGCAAAATTATCCACAAAAAATCATTATGTTGCCCATAAAAATAGTAGAGTTTTATATATACAACCCTGAACAGTAAATCTATCTATAAAAACAAAATGTATAACATACTAAGGCCATGTAATTTATTTTTTTTATTTTTTAAATATTTTTTAAAAAATTATTCAAAAAAATTTAAAAAAATAAAAAATTATTTATTCATGATAGAGAGAGAGAGAGAGAGGCAGAAACACAGGCAGAGGGAGAAGCAGGCTCCATGCAGGAAGCCGGATGCGGGACTCGATCCGGGGACTCCAGGATCACACCCTGGGCCAAAGGCAGGTGCTAAACCGCTGAGCCACCCAGGGATCCCCAATGCCATGTAATTTATAAGAGCATAAATGAAACATTACAGTTCCCTTATTAGTATTTTTAATTTCTCAAAAAAGAGAGCACTTAAATGATATGTATGTTGTGAGTTCAGCTGCATCCTGAATATCTATGCCTATATCTACAGCCATTTCAAACTCAGTAAATACAAAATGGGATATTAGTCCCCACTGCCCAAACCTGTTCAAAATGTGCTCTTACTCTTACATTTAATACCTGTCCCTTGTTTTACTACACCATCTTCACTCCACGCCTCATGCATGCATATATATATATATATTTGCATATATGTATATATATATACACATATTATCTTATAAATATACTTAGGCTGAGTTTTTAGATGGGAATTGAAATGTATATTCATTTAGCATCAATCCAGTGGTTTTTCTGCCTATAGTTTATGAAGCTTTGCATTTATTTAATTCTATTTTTTTTTATCATGATAAGTGTGTTCTTTAATACCCATCATCTACTTTCCCACCCCCCACAATATCCTCTCTGGTAACAATCAGTTTTTTCTCTATAGTTAAAGAGTTTGTCTCTCAGTTTCTTTTTTTTGTTTGTTTCTCTGTTTTGTTTCTTAAATTCCACTCGTGAGTGAGATCATATGTTTGTCTTTCTCTGACTTTTTTCACTTAGCATAATACTCTCTAGTTCCATCCATGTTGTTGCAAATGGCAAGACTTCATTCTTTTTATGGCTGAATAATATTCCATCATACACACACACACACACACACACACACACACACAACATCATCTTCTTTATCTTTGTTGTGCCCAATGAAAGAAAAGGAAAATATAAATCACAAAATAAAACTAAGGGAGATGGGTGGATACAATCCAAACAGGTTATATAGCAGGAAGTAAGTAAAAAAGTAACACAGGTTTGTGGCTAAAAATAAAAAGTATAAATAACAAATGTTGGCGACAATGGAAAGAAACTGGAATACTTGTGTAATGATGATGGGAATGGAAAATGGTGCAGGTGCTATGGAAAACAGTATGGCAGTTTCTCCAGAAGTCAAATATGATCTAGCAATTCCACTCTTAGGTATATATCCAAAAGAACTGAAAGCAGGGACTCAGATACTTGTACACTAATGTTCATGGCAGCAATATTCACAACAGGGATATAGTGGAAACAACACAAGTGTCCATAAACGGAACAGAACAAACAAAACATGGTGTGTGTATATATATATATATATGTATATATATATATACACACACACAACGGACTATTACTCAGCCATAAAAAGAAATTCTGATACATGCAAAAACATGGATGAAACTTGAAAACATTATGCTAAGTGAAATAAACCAGACACACAAAGACAAATATTATGTGATTCCACTTATATGAAGTATCTAGAATAAAGCAAATTCACTGGGATTAGAGATTATGAGCGGCTGCAAGAAAAGGGAAATAGAAGTTATTTAATGGGTACAGAATTTGGGATGATAAAAATAGTTCTGGAAATAGTGGTGATAACTACACAACACTGAAGATAATTAATACCAATTAATTATAACTTAAAAATGATTAAAATGGCAAATTTAATGTTATACATATTTCACGATAAAAAATCATATCAGATTATTTATCATTAATGAAAGTCTAAAAACCTAACAGCAGAAATACTATTTCTATTAATCAAATATTACACATATTTACATATAAGAAAAACAGAAAAGTATAATTTTATAGGATTATTTTCATTTACAACAGTAAATAATTACAAACCTCCCACTGAGTGATCACATTTTTCAGCTTCTGAATTTCAGCATCTTTCCTTTCAAGTTCCAACTTTAGTCTTTCAATTCTTCCATCTTTCAGAACTACTTCCTGTGGGAGAAAAACACTATTTTAGAACTAAGATATCCTGGGACGCCTGGCTGGCTCAGTCAGTACAGCATGCGACCCTTGATCTCAGGGTTGTGAGTGTGAGCCTCACATTGGGTGTAGAGATTACTTAAAAATAAAAATCTTAAAAAAAAAAAAAAGAAAAACCAATTTCTAACAATTCTGGTTTATAATATTCCTTTGTGAAAAGCTTAAGAGGAAAAAAATCCTGATTTTCCCGATTTTAATCCATTTTCTAAAGCAACCTTAAACTGTTTATTACATTTCCAACTCTACTCAATTATACAATTGTAATTATTACAGTGAAAGTAAGATATTTATGATTAATCTCAAACTACAAACACAACAGAATAATATCAGAGCTTTGAAATTTTTCTATACTGAAATAAACACATTAAAAGTGCTCTGTTACAAGTTATTAGTCTATCTTTAAAACCCAAAAGAACTGAAAACTTATGAGAAAAAATAATTATTTCACATTTATTTTATAATTTATAATTATTTTATAATTTAAAATTGTTTTATAATTATAAAATATAATAAATAATAACAAAACCCAAAAATAACTTTTCTCTGTACAGCATTTGCAGGTAGAAAATATAACTAGAAAAACCATTTCCCCCAGTAGTTATAAAAAATATCTCTAAAAATAAAATTCAGAAATGTTTAGGATCGACAAAGAAAATTATAAAATATTGAAAAGGACATGGGACAAAGGATGTAGATGGGAAGACTAAATATTATTTCAATAAAATTCCATTGAAATTCCAGTCAAAACGTCATCTGGGAGAACAAAGGACAGAAACAAAAAGTTAATGCAATAAAGAAGAATTTGCCTACCAAATAATGGCACACCACACAACAAAAATAACTACAACACCTGGTCTGACAGTGCAGTGTACCAGAAAAGAAAGTCCAGAAAGAAATTTAAGATATACAAATTTATTGTAATATAATTATGGTATTTTTAAAGAAGTGAGAAAAGGCTGAATTATAGAATAAATGTAGGTTACCGGATAAGTGGCTAACTGGGAGAAAAAAATCAAGTTAAGAAAATCCTTCTTGCACCACCTACCCAGACAAATTTAAATGCAAAAAAAATCTCAAAGTTATATAAGAGTATAAATCGGTTCCCTTTATCTAATGAGTGATGTGGCAACATTAACTTATTCTAAAGATATTCTCTGAGCATGTACCTACCTACCAGGTGCTACAGGTACTACAATGAAGAGAACTAAAAAGACTCCTGCTCTCCTGGGACTTGTCTGGGAGAGGAAGCAGACAGAAACATAAATGCTGCAATAAGAAAGTGCAGTTTAAGCTACGAAGAAAAGAAGCATAGTGTTATAAGGAGAATAATGTGGATTGTTCCCTTGTGGATCAGGGAAGCTCTCTCTAAGGTAGTGACTTTTATGATGAACTTTGCGTGATGAGAAGGAACTGGTTAAGCAAAAAGTGGAGGTAAGAGATTTCCAAGTAGACAGAACAGTATATTTAAAGACCTCAAGGCAGGAAGGAGCCTAGAGACTCTGAAGGAAAAAAGAGGCCAACATGGTTGGAATTCAGTGAGGGGGTAGATAATATAATACAGAGGCCTGATCCTGAAGGGCTTCGTGAACCAGTGAAGGAATTTGAGCAGGACTATCAGATTTCTGCTTATGTTACATTTATGTTTTTAAGAGATCACTTTGGCTGCTGTGGAAAATGGATCAGAGTGGGTAACAGAAGTGCAAAACTCTTTAACTGCTACTGCAAGCCCACATCAGAGAAGATTATGTCTGAGATCAGAAGCAGTATAGATGGAGAGAAATGTATCATGTAAGAAATTATTTGGGAGCGGAATCTACAGTATTTTATTAGCAGTTGAATGTGGCAGGTGAGGATGATGGGCACTTTCAAGATTCTAGTTTAAGCAATAAGGGGGGGTGGATCCAGATTAGAAATATACATAATATTAGGCCCAAGAATTTCACTTCTAGGAATCTACCTTACCTAGATAAGTGAGGTAGGGAGGAATATCTAGAAGTATTCATTGCAGATTTATTACAAAAAACTAGACATCAATTTAAATGCCCACCATAGAATATAGCCTAAATATATAGTAAGTTTATAAAACTGAAAACTCTGAAGTTACTAAAAATGATACAGAACTATAAAATATATTCACATGTTCTCAATATTATGACACTATATGCAAAAAAAATTCTGGAAGAACATAGACTAAGAATTTACTAACTCTTAGAAGATTTATTTTTGTGAGACGGAAATTTCACTTTATTGTTTAAAAATGTCTTTTTATCAAAATTGTTTTGTACTAAGTATAGAATCATTGAATAACATACTATTCTAATTTTGAAAAAAATGGAAACAGAAGCATTAAAATAAAATCTAGATGAAGAAGAGTATCATATCATCTTTTGAGTAAGAAAGCCCTTCTGAACAGAATACTAAATGGAGGAAACTAAAAGGAAAAGACTGATACATTTAACTTGATGAAAAATCTCCAAAAATAACCTAAAAGAATTGAAAGGTAAATGAGACTCTTATCATTTGCCTCCCTCTGTTTTTATCTTATTTAATACAACTGAAAAAAACAGTCACAATCATATGACAGGCATATAACCAATAAACATGAGAAAGTATACAATCTTAGTAGTAAGCAAAGAAATGTAATCTCAAACTGGCACATATAAAATATTTTTTTCTCAGTGTGGGATAACTGAAAGCAATTGAGTTATTAAAAATTCAATTATTTAATGTATAAGAATTATTACTTAATAACCCAAAATGGTGACCATCTCTATTTAAGTAAAAAGTGGTGTGGTCCATATAACAGTTTCTACATTTTTAGAGAGGAAAAAAAAGTATACATCCATAGAAAAGTTGGACCAAAACAATCACTAGTTTTCTCCAGGTGAATAAAATTAAGGTCATTTCCCCCCCCCCCCCCCCGCTGCATCTACAAACTGGGAATATCTACCAACTTCATAGTTAATTGTGCAAATTAAATGAAATAACCATTTTAAGTACTTAATATAGTATCTGGCAAATATATAGTAAAGCCCTCAAATATTAATTTTTGCATTATCATTAATCCATTTATCAGTAGTTTCTAAAATTTCTTTAAAAAGATGACTCGTCTCAGTTGGTTAAGTGTCCAACTCTTGGTTTCAGCTCAGGTCATGATCCCGGGTCCTGAGATTGAGCCCTGGGTTGGCCTCCACCTGCAATATCGAGTCTGCTGGAGATTCTCTCTCTCTTTCTGTCCCTCCCCCCAGCTCATCCACTCTCTCTCTCTATAAAACAATCATTTTTAAAAAACCAACAAAGATCACTTTTTTAAAGACAGAAAATCATATTGTTTTAATGTGCATTCATTTTTATAAGGTTTTACATTTCAATTAATAAATTTTAAAATTATCTTCTAAGTAGAAAATATTATACTAAAATAAGGATACAAGGATGTACAAGATAAAGTCCATGTCCACAAAGGATCTGTAGTCTGTTAAGAATGATAATAAAAATGTGCCGCATAAAATGTGCCATAAGAAAAACAAAATGCAAAGTGTCTGGGTGGCTCAGTTGGTTTAGCGCCTGCCTTTGGCTCAGGTCATGATCCTGGAGTCCCAGTATCGGGCTCTGCATCAGGCTCCCTGCTCAGCAGAGCGCCTGCCTCTCCCTCTCCATTTGCACTCCCTCTGCTTATTCTCTGTCAAATAAATAAAATCTTAAAAAAAAAAAGGAAAAGAAAAAATTGCTGTGGGGTAAGAAAAAGGAAAGATCACATCCAGATTTTCTGTGTTTGGTGTTTGGGGTGGGGGTAGTGAGAGAAAGCTTCAGGGAGAAGATGGCAAGTGACATGAACCTTGGGCAAAGCCAGGGAGGACCAAGCTTTCGGCGATAGTAGGGCTTTGCTCTAGCTATGAGAAAATCTGGGAAAATATAGCTGAAGTTAATTAGGCTGAAACTACACCATAGAACAATGTTTTCATACTTGTTTTTTTTTCTCATTAAACTTTTGTTTTAATGGGTCTCAAAATTCTGTGACAGATTTTTGGTCAAGTTGTTTCCATTAAAAAGTACTGCTTTTAAAAACTAGTAACTTAAAACTGCCACACACGCAAACAAAACAAATGGTCCACAAAACATTCTCCTTTTCTTCTGAAGGTTTTACGACGCATTGTTATTATTAACCAGTCTTTTACTATTAAACTTAAATGGCCAATTGACACAAACAGTTCTGAGACCGTCCTTCCACCACTGATTAAGACAGGGGTGGCAGGTATTAGGAATAATATTCATTTAGCCTTCTGAGCGTTCTGGGCAGACTTGGTGACTTTGCCAGCTCCAGCTGCCTTCTTGTCTACTGCTTTGATGATACCCACAACACCCAAAATGGCCCAGAGGAGGATAGTCAAAGAAGCTCTCAACACACATAGGTTTGCCAGGAACCATATCAACAATGGCAGCATCCCCAGATTTCAAGAACTTGGGACCAGCTTCCAGCTTTTTTCCAGAACGACGATCTATCTTTTCCTTCAGCTCAGCAAACTTGCAAGCAATGTGAGCTGTGTGACAATCCAGCACAGGTGCATATCCAGCACTGATTTGGCCTGGATGGTTCAGGATAATCACCTGAGCCATGAAGCCAGCTGCTTCCATTGGTGGGTCATTTTTGCTGTCACCAGCCATGTTACCGCGACAAACATCTTTGATACGTTCTTGACATTGAAGCCCACATTGTCCCCAGGAAGAGCCTCACTCAAAGCTTCATGGTGCATTTCAACCCACTTTACTTCAGTTGTAACATTGACTGGAGCAAAGGTGACCACCATGCCAGGCTTAAGAACACCAGTCTCCACTCGACCCGCTGGGACAGTACCAATACCACCAATTTTGTAGACGTCCTGGAGAGGCAGACACAAGGGCTTATCAGTTGGATGAGTTGGTGGCAGAATGCAATCCAGAGCTTCAAGCA